TTCTGGATGATTCGAACCGACTTCAATTTATGCTTTTCAGACTTGATACTGATAAATACAGCAATAAACAGACGGAAGAGGCGACACTCTATGAATCCAGACAGCAAAATCAAGCAACAAGATACCTAAATTCAAACAATAAATTCACTATGTTCCACGTGAATTTTCTCACCATAAAATCGACGAACAGAAGAATGTTGTGGATCCCACACGATCAATTCAGCTGTTAATGATGAGAACAAGCTTCCTCTATCGGAAGACTAAGATCCAGTGCAGATGATTGAGCTATTTCAATCAAATTGCACGCTTCCAGTAACACGTGTTCTGTAAACTGAAAATCGAGAAAATTGGAGCTAATTCCGATTTCTCGTCATGAACTGCTTATCGAGCTACTTCGATAAGCTTTAGCAAATATAAATTAATTAGCTCTATCGCTAATTAAGTGCTGGAAAACTTTTTAACCAAAGTTATCAGTGACAAAATTTATTTAAAAGATTTTTGTGACGGAGTGCGGAGTTTTTAAACCCGTAAATAAATAAATTTAAATGAAACGAAGTGAGTTCTATTAATCTATAACTTCAATCTTTATTTCCTGCTCTATTTAAATTTATTTGTGGATTTTAAATAAATTGTCCTTTCCTCCACGTCTCAAAAATGTTGTGTCAACTGATCAAATCAAATTGAGAGGGGTTTGCTACTGGGACAGAAATATTTAAATCTCAAAATTCCGTTATTAATTCAAATAATTTATTTAACGACTTTCCGTTAAATAAATATGTAACAGCAATTTGTTACAGATGATTTTTCTTTCAGATTGTCTATTTGGCTGGATGAATGAGTCAACTCAACTGAGTTAAGGGGTATACAACTATGGAAAATTGATATAATCTGCATCTTTAGGGGAACGCAACTATGAAAAAAGACAAAATCTGCATCTTCAAAGTACACAACTACGATTATAGACCTTATCTGCATCTTTAGGGGTACACAACTACGAAATTGACCTAGTTTGCATCTTTAAGGATACGCAACTACCAAAGTAACCTTATCCAAATATTTAATGGTACACAATTACGAATAGTAACCAAAATTATATCTTAAGGGGCATATATCGACAAGTAACTACATCTGCACCAAGAAGGCTACACAACTTCCAATAGTGACCAGATCTGTATCTTCAGGGGTACAAAATTACCAAAAGTGACCAGATCTGTATCTTAAGGGGTACATAACTACCAAAAATGACCAGATTTGTATCTTGAGGGGTAAACAACTAGGAAATTGACCTCATCTTCATCTTGAGGGGTACAAAACTACGACATAGACCTAGTTTGCATCTTGAGGGATGCAAAACTTCGAAATCGACATAATATACATCTTTAAGGGTACACAACTACGGAACTGACCTAATTTGCATTTTGAAGGTGAAACAACAAAAAAAAATCATGGATTAAAAACTCCAAATGCGCCTCCTGATCCCCCTGAATTCACTGTGTATCGTCTTCTACTTCAATTTCTTTTTATATGTCGTACATTTCTTCTTTTATGTCGGCACAATAAATGAATGGCTAAGCGAGTGTGAGAGAAGAACAGAATAAAAATGTTTTGATGCCAAAGAAGAAGCAAAAATAAAAAATAAAAAAAACATAAAAAAGAATTGCAAATAATTTTATTTGTTTAAGAAACTTCGTTTTTGTCCGTGGGAAATAAAAGATTAAACGTTTTGTCTTTATGTACATGATGTATGAGTGACTTGAGTGCTTATCTCGTTTAATTGTAGACATTAACTCGTGCATAGGTGAATTGAAATTATGATGAAGTGAAAAATGCTATTGGAACTGCTGGTTTGTGATATAATTGAAATGTTAAAAGAAAATTGAAAAATTCTTCAGTATTTCCGTTATAGGCGTGGCATAAATGCTCACATATGTCACATGCTCATGCATCAGACAACCCTACACATGTGTGATAGTAGTTTAGTACGATAAAAATTGAATTTTACTCCTACCCTCCTGTTTTTGTGACTGAGTGACATCCTATTCACATGAGACAGTCACGAAAATTGAATTTTGGCGCAAATTGAGTTATTCGGGAGTGTGATTTGATGAATTTTGGAATAAGTAGGAAGAAGGAGATGGAATATGAAAAAATAGGAAACAAGACTGCTATAAAATATTGTGTTTGATGTATTTGTTGTATATAAAGGTCAGAGCTAAAGAAGAGTAGGGTTAGGTAAGTCTGGTTTAGGGTTAGGGTTAGGATTAGGGTTAGGGTTTGGATTGGGGTAAGGGTTAGGGTTAGGGTTGAGGTTAGGGTAAGGGTTGAGGTTAGGCTTAGGGTTGAGGTTATTAATAGGTTAGGGGTAGGGTTAGGATGAGGGTTAGGGTTAGGTTTAGGGTTAGGGTCAGGGTTAGGGTTAAGGTAAGGGTTAGAGTTAGGGTTAGGGTTAGGGTTAGGGTCAGGATTAGGGTTAGGGGCAGGATTAGGGCAAGCATCAATCACTAATTACTATCCTCGAGTTTTGGCAATACTAACTTAAAAAGTACATGTCTGTATTAAAAGAAAGAAAAAAAGCTACATCAAAACAACTCAAACCGCTCTTAAATCTCATCATTTTAATCTCATCATAAAATTGACATCACAACAATAAAGAAATTAGAAAATTTGCAAACAAACAAGGCTGACAACCCTCATCGAACTACCATTCAACCCCCATCCACCATTTCATCACCCAGATCAACTCTCATTTATGTCATGAAATTCGCAAAATACAACAAATCACGAGGACTTAAATGAATCATCAGATTTCCATAAAAAATCTGCTTGTAATTTCTCTCAAATTGTATGCATCATATCAATATCATAATATTGACAATAGTGAAAGTTGCTGAAGGGGATGAGGCGACAATCCTCTTTCATATGCGCAAAAAAAAAAGAAATGAAAATTTTTTGCATGTGGGTGAAAAAAAAGTGAAAGTGAAGCGTGTCGCTGATTTTGAAAATGAAAAGGGAAAGTCAATTGACTATGCGAGGGTGAATAGAATTATTTGCACAAAAATGCCAGGCTGTGGTTTGCCAATTTGTCAATTTAGCTTTTGTGGAAGAATTTTTATTGGCAGTTGATGGAATTTAGGGAGATTGTTGTCATGTGTGGATGATTGGATTGTCAGCTTGTTATCATGTTGTGCTTTAGATTCAATTGAATGAATTTGTTTATAGTTGTGTATATGAAAGCTAATATTCGATATGGGAGCTGTGTACTCACTAAAGAACTGCAGATTCATCTAGAATATTTTTACCTACTTAGAAGCTGTGTCTCTCATTAGAAGCTGTGAACCCAGTTAAAAGATGTGAAACCACTTAAAAGCTGTGGACCCACAGAGAAGCTGTGTTCGTAATTAGAAGATGTGGACCCACATAGAAGCTGTGGACCCACATAGAAGCTGTGGACCCTCATAGAAGCTGTGAACTCACATAGAAGCTGTGGACCCACATAGAAGCTGTGGACTCACATAGAAGCTGTGAACCTACATAGAAGCAGTGAACCCAAATAGAGGAAGTGAGCCCTCATAGAAGCTGTTGACCCACACAGAAGCTGTGTCCCTCATTAGAAGCTGTGAACCCAGTTAAAAGATGTGAAACCACTTAAAAGCTGTGGACCCACACAGAAGCTGTGTTCGTAATTAGAAGATGTGGACCCACATAGAAGCTGTAGACCCATATAGAAGCTGTGGACCCTCATAGAAGCTGTGAACTCACATAGAAGCTGTGAACCCAAATAGAAGCAGTGAGCCCTCATAGAAGCTGTGGACCCACACAGAAGCTGTGAACCCAAATAGAAGCAGTGAACCCACATGGAAGCTGTGTTATAATTAGAAAATGTGGACCCACATAGAAGCTGTGAACCCACATAGAAGCTGTGGACCCACATAGAAGCTGTGTTCCTATTTAGAAAATGTGGACCCACATTGAAGCTGTGGACCTATTTAGAAGCTGTGGACCCACATAGAAACTGTGTCCTCAATCAAAAGCAGTTTATCAACCCAGAAATTGTATATCCTGCTAAACTGTTATCAACAACTAATAAAATGAACAAAAAAACACGTCCATTTCTACATTAAATATTGTCACGAAAACTGTTAATAAATTTGAAACTCAATTCCTATTTAGATAATTCAACCATTATTGAAAAAATTTGCTTTGTTTCCTCAAAACACGTTTATAGTTTCATAATTCCATTTAGGTATAAATAGCCGATATTTTAAAATGAAATATCAATCGACAGCTAGTTAGTGTCTAGTGTGGTTAAATTAAACTTTTAAAAAAATAGAAAAGCTATGAAAATTCAGTTCATTTTGTTATCTTGTTGCTTGATTTATCAATCCTTGGCTGGAAGCCCCTCATTTCATCCAAATGAAGCACCTTCCACACCTAGTTCAACTGTAGAGCAACCACCCACTTCTCCATCACCATCATCGACAGAAGAACCTCCAAATTCCACTCCTATGACAATAGAACAGCCATTAAGCACTCAGGAACCTTCATCATCAGGACTGCCATCGAGTACCCAGGAACCTTCATCTTCAGGACTGCCATCGAGTACCCAGGAACCTTCATCCTCAGGACCAGCATCAAGTACACAAGAACCTTCAACTTCTGCTGCCCCCACAACGACAGAAAAGCCGTCAACAAGTCCTGAAGCAACAACTGAAAAACCAGTAAAAGAATTTTGTGATGAATGTCAAAGCATCTGGTCAAGTGGAAAGGAACCATCCAGTTCTGACTGCGATGCCAAGAATTTCGACAAGCGCACTGTTGTAGCTGTCTATAAGAATCCACGACGAACTGTCGTTGGTGCTTGCCGTGGACATTTACCAAATGGTTCAATGTCTAGATTATTTGAATCTTTTACTATTGAGTGAATAAAAAATTATTAAATGTTTCCGTAACGGTCAAAATAAATTCAAATTTCCATCAACTTCCAGTTATTACTTTCCAGCCCGCATTTGTTTATAATTTAGTAAGTACTTCGGAAAAGTCAAAATGTTAATTTCTAGTCATTTGAAATGAGAAATCAACATAATGTCATTATTAAGATCAAATGCCATGAAGTTTCTTAGCATTTGCATTATCATTTCACTCATACTGACGTTCATCATTAGTGTTCTGCCAATTTCATTGGGTTTGTAAAATAATTTCAATTTTTCTTTAATTTTTAATGACCGTAGAATTTGTTTTTCAAGAGCCATGCAACTGCGAGAGCTACATCGAGAGCCACAACTCAATCCACAATGACGTACAGAACAAAAAATATTACAACTCAATAATCAACTCATTAAATATTGGAAATAAGAAGAAATTGGCAATTGTTGTTCCATTCCGTGATAGATTTGATGAACTTCTCGAATTTGCGCCTCATATGAATAAGTTCTTGACTGAACAGGGCGTGCCACATCACATTTTTATAGTTAATCAAATAGATCGTTTTAGATTTAATCGTGCTGCACTGATCAATGTTGGATTTTTATTTGTGAAGGATCATTTTGACTATATTGCTATGCATGGTAAGGAGTGGGTTGGGGATTGTTGGACGTGGGATGTTGGGTATGATCTGGGTTGAGGTTCTGGGTCATAAAATAGAATTCTTTGATTAAGATTGATCCAGGTTCTCGCAAAAACTTACAATATTTTTCAAAAAAATGTCAATTGAGCTCATCCTTCACAAAACTGAACTTATTCTTCTCAAAACTGAACTAATCCTCTTCAAATTGAGTTCATCCTTTTCAAAACTGAACTTATTCCTCTCAAAACTGAACTCAACGTTTACATCTAAAAACTGAAGTTATTCTTCTATTTACTGAACTCATCCTTCACAAAACTGATATCATCCTTTTCAAAACTAAACTTATTCATCTCTGAACTGAACCTTTCGTTTTTGAAACTGAAATTACTCCTCCCAAAATTGAACTTATCCTTCTCGAAACTAAACATTTCCATCTCATAACTGAACTTATCCTTCTCGAAACTGACATCATCCTTTTCAAAACTAAACTTATTCATCTTTAAACTGAACCTTTCGTTTTTAAAACTGAAATTATTCCTCTCAAACTTGAACTTATCCTTCTCTAAACTAAACATTTCCATCTCATTACTGAACTTATCCTTCTCGAAACTGACATAATCCTTTTCAAAACTAAACTTATTCATCTCTTAACTGAACCTTTCGTTTTTAAAACTGAAATTACTCCTCTCAAAATTGAACTTATCCATCTCAAAACTAAACATTTCCATCTCATAACTGAACTTATCCTTCTCGAAACAGACATCATCCTTTTCAAAACTAAACTTATTCATCTCTTAACTGAACTTATCGTTTTTTAAACTGAAATTAATACTCCAAAATTGAACTTATCCTTCTTTAAACTAAATATTTTCATCTCATAACTGAACTTATCCTTCTCGAAACTGACATCATCCTTTTCAAAACTAAACTTATTCATCTTTCAACTGAACCTTTCGTTTTTAAAACTGAAATTATTCCTCTCAAACTTGAACTTATCCTTCTCTAAACTAAACATTTCCATCTCATTACTGAACTTATCCTTCTCGAAACTGACATAATCCTTTTCAAAACTAAACTTATTCATCTCAAAACTGAACTAATCCTCTTCAAATTGAGTTCATCCTTTTCAAAACTGAACTTATTCCTCTCAAAACTAAACATTTCCATCTCATAACTGAACTTATCCTTCTCGAAACAGACATCATCCTTTTCAAAACTAAACTTATTCATCTCTTAACTGAACTTATCGTTTTTTAAACTGAAATTAATACTCCAAAATTGAACTTATCCTTCTTTAAACTAAATATTTTCATCTCATAACTGAACTTATCCTTCTCGAAACTGACATCATCCTTTTCAAAACTAAACTTATTCATCTTTAAACTGAACCTTTCGTTTTTAAAACTGAAATTATTCCTCTCAAACTTGAACTTATCCTTCTCTAAACTAAACATTTCCATCTCATTACTGAACTTATCCTTCTCGAAACTGACATAATCCTTTTCAAAACTAAACTTATTCATCTCTTAACTGAACCTTTCGTTTTTAAAACTGAAATTACTCCTCTCAAAATTGAACTTATCCATCTCAAAACTAAACATTTCCATCTCATAACTGAACTTATCCTTCTCGAAACAGACATCATCCTTTTCAAAACTAAACTTATTCATCTCTTAACTGAACTTATCGTTTTTTAAACTGAAATTAATACTCCAAAATTGAACTTATCCTTCTTTAAACTAAATATTTTCATCTCATAACTGAACTTATCCTTCTCGAAACTGACATCATCCTTTTCAAAACTAAACTTATTCATCTTTCAACTGAACCTTTCGTTTTTAAAACTGAAATTATTCCTCTCAAACTTGAACTTATCCTTCTCTAAACTAAACATTTCCATCTCATTACTGAACTTATCCTTCTCGAAACTGACATAATCCTTTTCAAAACTAAACTTATTCATCTCAAAACTGAACTAATCCTCTTCAAATTGAGTTCATCCTTTTCAAAACTGAACTTATTCCTCTCAAAACTAAACATTTCCATCTCATAACTGAACTTATCCTTCTCGAAACAGACATCATCCTTTTCAAAACTAAACTTATTCATCTCTTAACTGAACTTATCGTTTTTTAATTTGAAATTAATACCCCAAAATTGAACTTACCCTTCTTTAAAGTGAATATTTTCATCTCATAACTGAACTTATCCTTCTCAAAACTCATTCTAGATGTTGACCTTCTTCCAATCAACAAAGACTTAAAGTACGAGTATCCAGAAAGTCCCCTTCACATAGCAGCACCAGGTCTCCACCCAAAATATCACTATCCAAGCTTCATCGGAGGAATTTTACTGTTAAAAAATGACCATTTTGAACTTGTCAATGGAATGTCGACGAAATATTGGGGTTGGGGACTTGAGGATGATGAATTTTATGTCAGACTCAAAGATGCTGGATTAGAAATCATTAGGCCACAGAATATTAAGACTAATATGACGAATACATTCGTACATAATCATGATCGACTCCATAGAAGACGTGATACACTCAAATGTTACAATCAAAAAGAGGAAACAAGGAAGCGTGATAGAAAAACTGGATTGAATACCATGAAATACAATATTAATGCACGAAAAGAACTGGATATCGACGGTGTGAGAGTGACTGTTCTTAATGTTAAACTTGAATGCGATAAAAACTTAACGCCATGGTGCGACTGCACTGAAATGCCAAAAGAGTCAAAGCTGAAAAGCAAAGGACGGCGATGATCTTTTTGAGGACTTTAGCTAGGTTTTTTGTGAGATTTTTTAAAATAATTAATTGAATAAATTTTTTTTGATGATATCTTAATGAAAATTGCGATTTAGTGGATGTAGTTGTGGATTATGTTGCAGGTTCTACTGACTGGACGGTAGCGGCATCTTCATTAAGTTTGATGAAATAGCAAATTCTAAAACTGTAGATGAATTATCATCTCAAAAACAAGATTAACTACTTAATGACAATTTATACATCTAGTCAATCAATTAATCTGGTCCATTTTCCAAATTCCAATCTAAACTAGACATCAAGACTCACCAAGAACTTCCAACAATTTTGATAAATTTTCCAAATAATTCTAAGAATCCTCACAGAATCCTACAAAAAAAGAGCTTTCCAACACTTCAAGATCCAAAAAAGAAAGCTCTGTTTTCGCCCGGTCTCGAACCGGGGACCTCGAGTGTGTTAGACTCGCGTGATAACCCCTACACTACGAAAACGTACAGCATCTTATGTCCATTGAGCCACGGCCAATGAACACTGATTTGTTTGATTTTGGCAAAATTATCTTCATGCCATTATTGTGATTTATTTGGGGTCATTTGTAAGTGATGTCAATTTTTATAGAGAAGAGGGGTCTGAAGCTATTTGACTCTTTCATGGAACATTGGAGAGTGGATGTAAAACTTTGGTTTTTAAAGACATCATTTATGAATGACCCATAACAATTTTAGTAGTGATTAATGAGTTTAAAAACCACTTGAAGAGTGAATTTGAATCAGTATTATTACATCATAGCAATTGTTATTTAAAAAAAACAGCTAAATGATCTATGATCAGCTATATACAGGCGCGTAGCCAGAGGGGAGGGGGTATTTGGGGGACAAATCCCTCTTCGTCACAAGAAATTTTTTTTGCTAGAGAAAAACTCGATTATTTTTAGCTGGAATTACATCTGAATTAAGTGGGGACATTCAAAAATAACGTCTTTTAAAAAATTTCAGAGGTAGCAATTTAATCCAATTTAGATAAAAATAAAATGCACAAAAATTATGTGAAATAATTTTTTAAATGTCACAGAATTCTAGTCACCACAGTTTGTTAACCCTAATAACAGATAATTAATTCAGCTGAAGATGAAATGCTACGTAAAAATGTTCATCAACATCATTATATATTAGGACAAATATCTTGTTTGAAGGTCATGAAGCTTAGACATAAGAGCGCTCTGCGTGTAGAGTGTAGTAAGAGATTTTTAAAAAGGTTAGCTATCGCGAATGGTACAAGTTGGTTGAAACTGGTGGTTAATTAAATCGAAACTAGCACCATGAAAGAGTTATCCCAGCTGGGGGGGGGGGGGGGGGGGGGGGGGGGGGAGAGGGGTTCCAATCACAAATCTCTCTATGCAAACAGAAATTTCTTCATTTTGATAGGGTTTTTATAAAAAAATCTTCTAATGTCCCCACCTTCATATTCTTGGCAATGCCCCCGATTCTCATTTAAAAATGATGTCACTCAAAAGTTGAGGGTAATAGACCCCATTTAATGCGACATTTGAAAATATTAAATTGTGTAAGCAATGATTGCCCTCCCCCCCCCCCCCCTCCCCTCCCAACTCCTCAAGTTGAACATCATTTATGAATAATCCCCACAGCATTTGTCTTTCAAATTATTATTTTTGAGTCAATTCTTCACAACTTAAACAGATAGCCAGCCTGCAATCTAACCTTTTAGTCATCAGATATTCCCCGAAGATGTTTCTTGGAATTAAGACATGGCAAAAAGTTGATCTCGTGAGCATTTTCACTTTTGTATTTATTATTTAAAAATCTCAGTTTAATCAATAAGTTGTAATAATCAACAAGTGTGTCTTCATAACAATGGATAACTTGATTGTCAGCAGTTGCTGTTGTTTTAATTTAAGACAAGGATGCAAAATTATTGCTGTTGTTACAATTTTGATGACAGTATTTGATATTTTGTGGTCTATTGATGAATTGGGTATGAAAAGTTTGATGGATTTTGTGAGAAATTTAAATTGAATTTTTGATTTTTAGGTTTTGAGATCCTTCCTAAGTTTGAAGATGACAATGAACTGACTCGATATCCTAAATGTAATTTCAATTAATTTTATAATGTTTGTAGTCATTGGCATGTCTTAATTACCACAGGGCTTATTTACTTCAATCTCATTTTGACTGTTCCATCCATTCTATCATGTGGATTCCTTCTCATTGGCATATCAACGGTAAGATTTGGAATTATTGTTTTATTTATTTTTATAACATTTTTTTCATTTTCATTTTTTGTAGAATCGCGCAAAGTTTTTGATTCCATTTATTGTTCTTCAGACAATCTTGTTGCCGTACGATATAACATTTGAACTTATTAATCCAGATAATTACGGAATTATTAGCTTGTTTTTATTTTTAATGATTCTGTTCGTTTTCTTGGTTGTTTACTTTATTATTTGTGTCTACTCATTGTATGAGATCATGCGACGAGAGAGAACTTGATGATGTTGAGATGCAATTAGTTAATAATTAAGATAATTTGTGTTTATAAAATAAAATAAATTGTTGTCAAGTAACTTTAAGAATTCTTACTAAATCTTACAAAAAAAAGAAAGCTTTTCAACCCTTCATGATCCAAAAAAGAAAGCTCTGTTTTCGCCCGGTCTCGAACCGGGGACCTCGAGTGTGTTAGACTCGCGTGATAACCCCTACACTACGAAAACGTACAGCATCTTATGTCCATTGAGCCACGGCCAATGAACACTGATTTGTTTGATTTTGGAGAAATTTTGTATTTCAACTTGAGAAATTTTTTTTAAGGTCTATAAAAAATGTTGAGTCATTTTAGATATGATTTAAGGTGTTGTAAGTTGCAAGATCGAAAGCTAAAGACGACGTCCGTAACCGCATTAGACTGGCCAATGCAGCTTTTGGCTCATTACGACATGTCTGGACCTCCCCCCGACTTTCGAGACGACTGAAGCTGAAGATCTTCAACTCGAACGTCAAGCCTGTACTTCTTTACGCATGCGAGACTTGGAAAGTTACAAAAGCTCTTACACAACGCATCCAAGTTTTCGTCAACAAATGTCTGAGAGCAATATGTGGCATCTACTATCCTCAAACAATAAGGAACACAGAGCTGTATGCAATGACTAAACAACAAATTATTGCAGTCGAAGTTGGGAAAAGGAAATGGAACTGGATTGGGTATACATTAAGGAAAGACCATACAGACATCGCCAGACAAGCGATTTTCTGGAATGTCCAAGGAAATAGGACTACCGGCCGACGGAGAATTACTTGGCATACAACTGTTGAACGGGAGGTGGAACAACCGAACAAGAAGCTGCAGGAAATAGCAGCTTTTGCCCAGAATCGAGTGCGATTCAAATGCTTTATGGACGTCCTACGCTTCATAGTGGAGCAATAGGAACCCATCATCATCATCATCAAGTTGCAAGATCGATAAAAACTCGTGTTCATTCTGCAGTTCAAAACTTCATGAGGACGAGCTGGTGGTCAGCTGAAAAATTCCAAAAAGGCAAATCTAACAAAGATTAATCTTCAAATAGCATTTTATTGTTATAATCATCAATCATGTCCATCCACCATTATTTTCATCTATTCGCTTTAAGTCACAGAAAATAAAAATTTTTTTTTGGAATTTTTGACGAACTTTCACTTCCATTTATGGTTTGTAAGCAACGATTAAATTTTCTGAAAATTCTTTAACTTTTTCAGTTCCTCGAACTTCCTTGTCCAACAAAGGCAACTTAACAACATGAAAATCTTCATATAAATCAGCCATTTGATCTAAATACTTTGTCTGTGTCCTCAATCGAGCCTCACACATTGTACATGGTGGCTGTCCTTCCTTCTTAAACAGCAATTGATTAACAATAATATTATGGGTGTCAATGCCGGTCTTCATAAGTTCCTGAATCAAACGTTCCGTCTCGTAAAGTGACAAAAATTCAGCAATACAGACACAAATGAAGGTCGTCTGGTCCGGATTCTTAAATTGCTGATTCACTAGCCGAATTATGTTCAGCATTTCTTCCAATTTTTTTGTAAATGAGTCAGCATTAAAGTCACTGACACCGAAAATTGAGCCTACTTGATTCATAAATGGAAGAAGTTTCATTTTAAGACGCAACATTTTGCCAATTCCTTTCTCGACGACTTGTGGAAACGACAGAAGACGTAATGTGTGACCGGTTGGCGCTGTGTCGAATACAACGACTGAAAAGTTCATTGAGTTAACTAATTTCATCACTTCGGCATAGCTCATTGCCTCGTCGATGCCCTGGTATGTTGAGGAAGATTAAAGGATGTGATTAGCTTATTAATTGAATTTTGGCATCTGATTCTAATGGATGGGGTTAAGGTTTGAGTATCCTGCTGATTAGGATGCTTTGCAGATCCCAAAATGGGATTTTTATTTTTTAACATCTCCTTAATCAGTTTTGGCATCTCAGACCGTAGTTTTGATGCTCAAGAAGGTCCATAGCTTAATATATCATTGGCTAAGTTATCTAAAGAGTAATCTGAAGTCAAATCTTAGTCCAGGACATACCCAGCGATCAGAACTTGAGTGTAAATTAAAGCATGACTGGCCCATTGTCCAAAGTCAACAACTAAGACATTTGACAAAGGATAGCAAGCCCCATCCACAGCAATACCTCAATTAAATCAAATACTCACAGGCAGAGCACCAACAATTTCCTGCAAAATTCCTTTCGTCAATTTCAACGATGAATCTTCACTCTCAAAATATTCATCCGGAAGTTCATTAACCCCAACACTTGGATCTACTTCCATAGCAAATAGATTCCTGTAAAAATAATAGAAAATAGGTCAATTCGTCAAAATGGTCCAAAAAGTGTGTCACTTACTCAAATCCATTGACTTTTGTAGGAACTTTTGTGAATTTCTGATCGAAAGCATCGCTAATGTTGTGTGCGGGATCAGTCGACAGGATTAACACGGATGGACGAACTTTAGCCAATTGTACAGCTAAGGAACAACTGCATGTTGTCTTACCGACACCGCCTTTGCCTGTGGATGTTTATTTTTAAGTGCCATGTCATGTTTTTGAAATTTAATTTGTAAATTTACCTCCAACAAAAATCCATTTAAGTGTTGATTGCTCGATGACGTTGTTTAAGGTTGGCTCGAGGTCCTCACAGTCCATTTTTTAATTTAATTTATGCTGAATGATTTGATTGAATTGTAAATTAAAAGTGAATTTAAAATATTTTTTTATGTCTTGTGTCTTGTGGAAAGAATTTGAATGAAAACAAAAAAGTTTCTTGATGTGGAGAAGTTTGCTCTAATTTGTTTAAAATTTGAAAAGCCGTTATGGGAATTTAAGAAGTTATAAAGTTTGCTATAAGTGTGATTTGAATTTGTTAACTTATAATTTTTTTCAGCATTTTTCAACTTTTTCTACTTTTGAACTTTTTTCAACTTTTTTCAACTTTTTGAACTTACGGAACATTTTGCAAAATGATAAAAAATGTTGAAACATGTTGAAAAATAAAATGTTCAAAAAGTTCAAAAAATTCAAAAAGTTCAAATAGTTTAAAATATTCAAGTTCAAAAAGTTCAAAATATTCAAGTTTAGAATGTTCAAAAAGTTCAAAAAGTTCAAAAAATTCAAAAAGTTCAAATAGTTTAAAATATTCAAGTTCAAAAAGTTCAAAATATTCAAGTTTAGAATGTTCAAAAAATTCAAACAGTTCAAAAAGTTCAAAAAGTTCAAAATGTTAAAAATGTTGAAAAAAATTCCTGAAAAGACTTTCCCTTTCATCATAAGCCTTTGATGTCATCAGATTTTCCCTAAAAATAGCTCATCTACACACTTGTGGATATCAAAAAAAATAGTAAAAAATAAAATCATCTTTTAAAAAAAAATCTCCTTGAAAACTGAACCCATAAATAAATTGTTGCCCTCTTAAAAAAAAGTGTGCAGATCGCTGCAAATATGCTCTGATTGAAGAACAAATATTTTTATTTGTCTCAATTTCTTAAAAATTTTGATTGTCTTTTTCTTCTCTTATGAGCACCTCTCACCCGCTCACATCTTCTCACTGTCACGACATGATCATATGATAAATAAAAATTAATATGAAAATTATTTTGTTTTTTTTTTTCTCAGTTGCAATTTGTAAATCGTAGAGTCTAGAGGACAAAATCATGATAAATCAGTTGCCACAAAATATTTTAATTGAAATCTTTTCACATTTAGATGCGAATTTCTTAGGGCTAGCATGTCAAGTTTGCCGGTTGTAAGTGGAAAATTTTTACAATTTCCTGATAAAAAATAAATAAAAATTATTATTTTTCAGGTGGTCATATGTCATCAGAACAACCCCAAAGATCATGAAAAGAGCCAAAGTCAAGATCACATCAGACCGGACTGAAGATGACATTACAATCTTCGATCAAGTGCCTTTCGGACTTCACCAAAACATAGAAGTTGTCGACTATTGTGGTGACTTTGTGATCCTCCAGCAGATCCTTACAATGCATAGGAACTACATCGAGTATGTCAAAATTGTTAGACCTGATGTCTGGTGTGCGAAAATGTTTACGGAAACTTTCAGCTCATTGAAAAATTTGAGTCGATTGATATTGGATAATTGCCAATTAAGAGACATGAAGGAGATTAAGGAGAGCGGAGAGAATTTTGTAAACTTGCGGCATTTGACGGTTGTGGATTGTTGTTGTGAGATTTTTGACATTTTTAGGGATTGCAATGTGAGTTGTGTTTTTTATTTAATTTTTAATATTTTTTTTAAATTTTACAATTTTAAAATTTTTAATTATTTTTTTAAATTTTACAATTTTAAAAATTTTAATTATTTTTAAAATTTTAATTCTTTTAGCTAGCATCCCTGACTGTCGAATATTCACCAAATTTCATCCCTGCCGAGCAATTCTCAATGAAAAGTTTAACAAATTTATTAAAATACTCTTCAACAATCACAAATTTAACAGTCGTAGGAGTCACTAAGTTCCCAGACAATTTCTTAACTACAAAGTCAACCTACAAGTTTCATCTTCAACAGCTGACAATGGATGACATTGAAGGACTTGAGGACTCTTATCCCGCTCAGTTTCTAGAATCACAAAGAGGAACGTTGAAGAAATTGTCAATTTTGAAGCCTCCTGAAAGTGAAAAATTACAAAATTTGATCAATGAGATCAGGTGTTCTATTGACTGTGATAAAGCTTTATGTTAAACTGTGAATTTAGAGCAGTGCTTCTCAAACTTTGGCCCACGACACATTAGAGAGCAATAAAAATTCCATGTTAGCTCCGAAAATTGTGGGAAAATGTGCCATAAATCGCAAAAGTTTGAGAAGCACTGGTCTAAAATGTTAATCTTCATTGTCTTAGGGGCCGTTCACTTATGACGTCCGACATTTAGAGGGGGGAGGGGGGGGGAAGGGGGGTCTAGGATTTTGTGACAGTTCAAACAATGGAAATTTTTTTCTATCGAATTTTTGTGACGGGGGGTCTAAAAATCAGGTTTTTTAATGGACGTCATAAGTGAACGACCCCTTACCTGATCAGGGGCTGGCTGCTTGGTACAATCTATGATATTGCCGACCACATAATAATATCTGGTATAAAGCTTAGGAGTACACAAGACATACTCTAGGCCAAGTAATTTATACCAAACATACAGCTCCAACTAGGTACAATGGAGTTCCTCTGTCCCCAGATGTCCATAAATGTATCAAAAGAATAAAATCTCTATTTTTGTTTAAACATTTTATTTAAATTTTTTCATAACTTAACATTTCAAAGATTAGATCTGAACCTTGACCAAGTAGCAATCCTGTTATAAAGCGCATTTCCAGGACAATCTGTGCTACTGCTTTTGTCATTCCTATGTGTCGATACCCAATGACTAGCTGTCAGCTCTCCTCTTGCCCTTGAGCATTCAATAAAAGCTTGTGTATTACTCAATGCAGCTGCAGTTGGTAAACTCGACATGTGACTTCCAAAGAAGCAGTGCCCAAGTGCAATTGCATTAAATCCAACAGCATGTGCTCCATGTCGTCCATATCCACGTCCTTCATAGACTTGTCCAAGATCACCAATACAAAAGTTATATCCAATGTCATTCCATCCTCTTGTTTTTATGTGATAATTTTGAATATTTCTCATTTGTGCATCGCATGCAGCTTGTGACGTGCATCGAGCACCTTCTGTATGATGAATAGCGAATCCTCTTGGTGGTCGAGTTGTCATCCATTGCAATGTTGTCTTTTGTGAACCCCATTGAGCTCTAGTGCGAATGTTGTCACACGGTGTTGCTGCATACGTCGATGCAATTAAAGCAAATAGTAAAAAAAACTTCATGTCTTGTTTGTGGATTGTTGAAACTGTTTGTGGATTGTTTATGGATTGAATGGCGTTTTTATACTTTTAATGAAGTAATAGAAAAAAATAAGCAATAGATACTTTTGTATCCACAATCTTATCATGAATTATAAGCTGCGATTTGGTAATTCTGCATTAAGTGGGTCATTTATTCAGAATTTAAGCTTAATAAGCAGTTCAAGATCGAGTTTATGACTGATTTTAATTTTGATAACGAATAATAAATTTGGTAATTGGCTCAATGTTTTGGTTGAAGCTACAGAATCGTCAGGAAGTAGGGAACAGAATTACTAACTGGATGTGTCATTTAAGGATTCCTTAAAAGTGTAGTTTATTCTGATTCTAAAGCAGTTCTTGATTATCTGGGACACGCTTGAGGTTCGTTCTTTCAATCCAATCATCCTGACATTGTTCCTAGCTCTACAGCTGCTGTCAAAAGACCACACTAAGTTGCAAATCAGCTTCGAGTGGAACACGTGAAATGAAGTCTAGTTAATAACCAGACGTATGAACGACTAATGAGCGTCCTAATTAGGAACATTCCGAGAAAATTGTCATTAGTCGTGTCTACGTCTAGGAGATTACTTGACATTAGTGCCAAGTGTCCACGTGGGATCTGTTATCATGGCCAACGACATCAGCCTTTGCAACACTGTTTAAGAGCTTCGTATAATTCATATTGTAAAATTTTATATCTATCATTTTGATATGATTAAGTTCACAAGCTTATTGAGTCATTATCGCAACTTTCTTAAAAAATTCTCATCAACCTTAAACCACGTGTTGTTTTGTTTACTTTGGTTTATCTCCTTTGTTATTCCCCGATTGATAAAACTCAATAAACAATTGATCTTTATCACATTTAAAGCCATAATTTCAGAATATTAATAATAAAACTTGATCCCTCAACTTGCATGCAAGTAAAGTTTAAAAATTGAATTCTCAAAATCCGTTAAGAAAGTTTTGAATTTAAAATTTCACAAAATGATGTATTCGATGATTTAAATAAACAATTTGTAGTGCACAGATTCACAGCTCCTATAGATTTAATAGAAGAGCGATCGGAACAACTTTAAATGTCCAAATTTTAATTCAATTCTATCCAAAAGGTTGGAGGTTCAAGTCCTTCTTTTTGGGGTCTTTTTTCAAATAACTTAAAAGAAAAACATGAAAATTGTTCGAAATAAAAGTTTTTCTTTATTTTTCAAGATGGTCTGTTGCTGTTGATGTATAAGTTTTGATGATTTGCTAATGAAGATCAAAATCAGTGGTGGTCAACCTTTTATGTGGTACGGTAAGTTAAGACCGAAACCGCACATGAGATATAGTTCGTGGGATTTTTCGTGACAGACTAATATGCCGTGGCACAAAGGTTGACCATCACTGATCTAATTTAAGCTTTGTATGGAGGAGGAAGGGACAGTTTATCAAAGGCAAGAGGATGGATAATTTGCAATTTTTCATGTTTCTCATCTTTTATCTTATTTCTTAAAGACAACAGCACCAAGATGTTGTGAATCTGGATGACATTAATGCAAACTACAATAAAGTAGCTGATGAACGAGTTGCAGGCAAAAAACAAAAGAGAAGTGACGAATAAATCACAAAACTTGCATAATATGACAGGAACAAATTGACTAGTTTGACGCTGAAATGAGTAATAAAGTTATTAAAATTAATTCACAGATTATTATTACTCACTCTTTTAATCCCTTCCAGCAGGACGTAATACATGTAAAACATTCCAAATGAAGCGATCAAAATTGAAAAAATTATCCACACAGCAACTAGAAATTAGAATTAAATAGATTAAAATTATTAATTTAAAAAAAATAAAACTCACAAATCTTCACTAAAATACAAAAATCAACGAAATCAGAAGTTGCAGATAAAACTGATTTAAATCCAATTTCACGAACATAAGCTTCAATTATTTCATTCGGAATGAAAAATATCAAAAATAACCAAAATGCTGTTGAGATTATAAACAGCCCGTAACTTATCATCCCATTCCTGGAATATAAAATTAAATATTTTAATTAAATAGCATTTTAAAAAATTATTTGAAAAACTTACACTGCGACTATTTTCCCACCAAACTCTAATTCGTACCACAAAAATCTGTTCAATCGGATCATTTCTGTTCTGATGCGTAAAAATTGACGAAAAACTTGTCGATTCGATGTGAAATGCTGTCTGACTGACAATGAAAAACTTAATTCTCGTTAGTGTTTATTATAGAACTATAAAAAAGGAAGTAATAAATGTTCTCATAAATACAGAAAAGAAGCGCATTTTTCAGTTACAAAATTATTTTAAGGAATCATAAAAAACCTTTCAGGATTCAAAATTTTATGTCAGTTGGACTTTTTCTGTTAAAGTAAAACTATGGAACTGAGTGAGTATGGCTGACAAAGCTATGACTATAAATCCATTGATATTAAGTTTAGAAAACGCATTAAAAATAGAAATATTGTTTTACAATATTTCCGACATCACTTCAACTAATTACAATTTTTAACCTCCGACGTTATTTCTTTTCCTGCTCTCGAGCAAATTTCCTGTCTGTTCATAGACTATTAATGGACTGCATCAACTTCTGAATAAGATTACTTTGAAAATGTCTAATGGTTTTTGACATGTTTGTGAATGTTTAAATCAGAAGCGCATATAAAAAGCTGGTGACCTTTATATTGACCGTAAGCAGATGCCCATAAGTAGAGTCAACTCCCATCCATCCTTCAAAATGGAAAAATGCCTTCAATTTGCTGGAATTTTGGATAAAGAAATCTCAAAAAACCTTAATTTAAACTCACCCCCTCAAAAAAATTAAAGCTACTTCAAAATCGAGAGCCTCAAGTTAAGTTTAACTTTTAAGAATGAAATCTGATTCATAAAAATCTTTCGAAATCATTGCATTATCTCTTTAGACAAACAAGTTTGTTTGTGAGAAGCAAAAACAACTTACTCGCTTTGAATTTCACCATAATTTTTTATAAGTAGTATTAACAAATATTACAATACTAGTATAATATCTCGTAATAAATTACAGGCAGCTTTTAATAACCCCGTGAAGCATAGGGCACAGGCGCGTAGCCGGGGGTGGGGGATTTGGGGGACAAATCCCCTTTCGTCTTGAGAAATTTCTTAATTTTGCTAGAGTTTTTGGGAAAAACACAATCAATTCAGGTATTCAAACAAATTGAGATACATGAGGTTGGTCAGGTTTGATCACTTTATACTTTCCAATTTTTTTTCCTACATCCAGTCAGTCTCTTTAAAGCGTTCATGCAGAGCATAATAATAATATAAAATCTTTCAGTAAAAATGTCAAAGCTTGAAATGATTCTTATAATGTGTGCATCGATATTAACATCATCAGCAGTTTTTGTCAACTATTTGCTGAAAATTCATGAAGGCTTTACAGTTAAGCATGCACTTTTGGACATAATTGATGAATTTTATACCAAAAATTCATTAGAATTTGATTTTATAATATTTGATAGTGAAAATTCGGCATTAATCAATAAAATTGGAAGTTCCAACAGTGGAATGCAGCCATATCAAGTGAAGACAGTCAATAGCTTTGAGAAATGGAACCAGATAGACAAGTCAGCTGTGATTCTAGTCAATAATGGACACAACTTTAACATACTCAATTCTAAGGTCAATTTGACCAATTCTTATGCAAAAAACTTAAAATTTGTGATCATTTTTGATGATTTTGAAAATTCTATAGAACATATTTTGGCACGTGAACAACTTACTAATTCCAAAGGCATCATTTTAGATTTTTCTTACTTTGTGCTAAATTTTGATGACACAATTCATTTAGTGACAATTTTATGGCACAGCGAGGCTTTTTGTGGTTCAGCTTACTATTATCCAATCAATGTCTACCTAAAAAGATCTAAAACTTGGGCTGTAAAGCTTAAAGATTTCCAGAAGTTTCGCAATTTCCATAAATGTCCATTGATAGTCACCAGCTTACACACTTTCTATGGATTCTTTTATGCTGATCAATTTGATAAAAGATTTAGAGGACTTCTTGTTGATTTGGTACAATCAATAGCTCAATATGTCAATTTTACAGCAGCCTTCATTTCTACTAAAGACAACTCATTAACTGGCTCGTACATCGATCAAACCGGCAACCAAACATTCCAAGTCGTTCAAGGCGTCAAAACAAACTTTCCAGATTCCCTCGAGCATGTGACAATGACATTCAGTCAGAATAGCTTTATATTCGTGATTACACCAGCTGATCCGTACACAAGTTATGAGAAAATTTTACTTCCTTTCGACACAGACACGTGGACATGGCTGATTATCACATTTTCATGTACTTTTGTGTCAATTTTTATCATCAACAGGATCTCAAAGGAAGTACAAGACATAGTTTATGGTGAAAATGTTCAGACACCGACCATGAATGTTTTCTTTATTTTCTTCGGAATTGGTCAAATGCGACTGCCTGCAAAGTGGTTTGCACGATTTTTACTCATCAATTTTATTCTGTTTTGTTTGATTTTTCGAACTTGTTATCAAAGTAAAATGTTTGAATTTATGACATCGGATATGAGGAAGTCCTCGCCGGAAACTATCGATGATCTTTTTGTGCAGAATTTTACAATTTATACGATGGAATTTGAGCATATTGTGAAGATTTTGGAGAATCTGATTGATGAGAAGAGAAGGTGAGGAATTTTTTTGAGATTCAGGTGTCTTCACACTAGGTTCCTTTGGTTCAGGTGTCTTCACACTAAGTTTTTGTAGATTTTGACGCATGCACAACAGTCGTTCTAAGTCAGGTGTCTTCACATTAAAGTTTGCTAATATTCAGGTGGCTTTACACTAGGTTTTTTTGGTTCAGGTGTCTTCACACTAGGTTTTTCTAGTTTCAGATACCTCCGCAATAGAATATTTTAGGTTAAAGTGCTTCATAATAAATTTGCTAAGTTCAGGTGTCTTCACGCTAAAATTCTAAGATTCAGGCGCCTTGACATTAGAGTTTTTTTCAGGTACATTTGCATTGATGCATCGAAAGGTACATGTGGCTTAACACAAGGTTTAAAAGGTTTAAGTGGCTTCACACTAGACTTTTGAGATTCAGGCGACTTCACACTATAGTTCTGAGATTCAGGCGACTTCACACTAGAGTTCTAAAATTTAATCGACTCAAATATTGATCTAATGAAATAATTTTTATTTTCATTTTCAGACCAAAAATCGTAAAATTTAACAAGTTTGCTTCTTTTTTTAAACTTTTCATCAAAATAAGACTGGACCATTCACAAAAAATAGCCTTCTTTATGCCTCAAGATTCAATTCCAAGTTTAATTATAAGATGTAAATGTCAACCAAAGATTCTCAGACAAGCACTTTGGACTTACCAAAATGGAATATCAATGCTAAAAAATCATTTCTTATTTGCTGCAACTGAGGAAGTCATGCAGAAGTTTATCCCAATGGGATTAATTCAACATTCGTACGATCTTCACAATTGGATCTGCCTTAGACCGATTATTGAGCCTGAAGAGAATGAACCAATAGTTTTGACAATGGATGAATTAGAATTTGGATTTATTTTGTGGCTGACTGTCTGTGCAGTGTCAATTTTGGGATTTTTCTGGGAAATTTTAATGTCTAAGATAAGAAGCTGCATGGGAATTAGCTTTTTGATAGGTTTGATGGTAAAACGTCCTGTGCTTCATTGAATTTAAATGTTAACAGGTGAAAAAAAAATATAAAAAATTGCTCCTAGGGGGACTTGAACCCCCAACCTCTCGGATAGAATTTTTGATAAATTTCACAAAGTGAAAAAAGGTAAGATATTCCGATCGCACTACCATTGTGCTATAGAAGCGATAAACATTTTCATTGGCAAATTGTAAATAAAAGTGAATTTTCTAATTTCATTATTTTTGGAAATTTTTTGGAGCTTTTTCTGAGTAACGGTTTTTTTAAGTTTGAATTATTATCCAAGACACAATTTTAAGCTTTGAACTTTAAATTCTCAAAGAACTTTAGGACAAATAAATAAAATTTGAAATGTTATGAGTAAAATTTAAAAGATTTCTAGTCAGAAGCTACCCGAGGGCAACGTTCAATAGACTTAGTTCAAATATTGTGCCTGTAGTGCTTCGTCTAGTCTTTAAATTCCAACTTCTGGTGTTTTTCGAGATTAGGAATGGACATTGAAAAGGATTGCTTAAAATTCGTGCCTCTTAAACTTGTTACATAACATGTGATCGACCCTTCCTTAAAAATTGTTAAATAAAAACTTTGTTCAAGTTGATAAGCATGTATTATAACTGACCTTAATTTTTATATACATTGCCTCAGCTAAGAACAACTGGGCAAATCCCATTCCACCAATGAATTCTTATCAGCTAAAATTTAATTTGAAATAAAAACAAGCCAGCATCTCAGTCAGAATTTGCAAACTGTTCGAATCAGTTCACATTGAAATAATTAAAAATTGTGCAAAAATAATTAAAAAAAATCATGCGAATGAGTAGCTTCCTGTGCCTTGAGCTTGAAACCGGTGGCAAAATTGTGGCATGGTGAAATTTTATAATTTTTCTGATTTTCAACACGACACTAAATTTTATTTTTCATTAGGCTGGGAATGGTCCGGTATGGATTGTGCATGGCTATTCTATCGATTCCAATTCTTATTGGTTTTTTAATCCCTTGTGAATTTATTAATGATAAATTTAACAATTATGGCATGAATCACGAGTTCCTTAAAGTTTGTTATGTTTCCAAGACATGTAAGTATTAATCGTGAGTAATGAGTTGAGAATTTGGGGGGATCTTTTGGGTATGGTACAGGTCAGAACGTTTTTGGCTTTTGGCTCTTGGTTCTTAATTCTAAGATCTAGGTTGTTGGTTGTTGGTTGTTGATTGTTGGTTGTTGGTTGTTGGTTGTTGGTTGTTGGTTGTTGGTTGTTGGTTGTTGGTTGTTGGTTGTTGGTTGTTGGTTGTTGGATGTTAGTTCTTAGATCTTGGTTGTTGGTTCTTGGTCCATGGTTATTGGTTGTTGGATGTTGGATGTTGGATGTTGGTTGTTGGTTGCTGGTTCTTGGTTCTGGGTTTTTGAATCACTAAATATCAATAAAAAATCAAGCACAACTGCATAAATAAAGAGCAAGTAAAATGTAAACCTCTTTATGCGCTGAAATCATAAAAAAAACAAAAAAAAATTAGTGACCTCTTCCTTACATTTTTGCTCAAAGTTATTGATAACAATTTTATTTATATTCTCAGTAATCATCATGGCATTTGTTTCGATTATAACTTTTGTTTCTGCAATGTTCTACGTCTACTACGCTTTATATGAAGGCATAAAGCATGTTAGTATCACACTTTAAAATTAAATTCATTCAAAAACAGCTTTTTCTTCCTTTTTTCAATAGAAATGCGCAAGACAAATCATTCCTAGCATCATTTTTGAGCTGACCACACTTTCTCTAACCATTTTGAGTTTTATTTTTTGCGAGTCTATTTATAGCTTCGCTGGTGTCGCTATTAATGTTATCATCAATAGTTTCCTTGTTTGGACTCTTGTGTCAATCCATCAAAACTTAAAGGATGGAGTTTCTGATTGTGGACCAGTCTATTTTACACAAAAATAGCTTGTTTTGCTGGTTGGAAGACAAACTGATAAGGTTGATGACTAAGAAACAAAATTACGATGAAAATTGTATTATTTTGTAATAAAATGTGAAAAATTTAATAAATTTACTTTTTTTTTGATGCAGTAAGGGGAGTCAAATAAGGCATTGCTATAATTTTATTTCTATTTTTAATAATCAAAGCAAATTTAAAGATTTTCGACGGTTATGGACCCCTTAAGACCCCCATAAAAAGCGCAATTATCACAATATTTTCAACTTAGCTAAAAACTCTCAAAAAAGGACACAAAAAAAAAGGAATGCTCCTAGAGGGACTTGAACCCTCAACCTCTCGGATAGAATTGATTTGTGAATTTTCATATTTTAAGTTGTTCCGATCGCTCTTCTATTAAAGCTATAGGAGCTGTGACTCAGTGCATGGCAAAAATGTAAATTTAAATGTTCTAATTTCATCATTTTGTGCAATTTTGTGTCGAGAATAGAATGACAAATAATTACCTTACAGACATAAAGTTTTATATTGAACATTGAGTTTGTTGGACATGATGTAATGATAAGTGTGCATTAGAATGAGAGTTCATTGATCTGACGAATTTAAAAGGATTTTATGTCAACGAATTGAATGGATTGCTTTTATTATGATAAAAGATGAGGTCCCAAAGTAAGGACTCACAAAATAGAGATCTATAAAGGTATAATCTTCTCCCTTTTTCCCCTAAACGTTAGACGACATAAGTGAACGACCCTTAAACTCAATCAAATATTTTTATTAACGACTGCAGAATATTTAAAATTTAAGCGAAGCTCAGACACAGTTGGTGATGATAAGGAGATTCATTCAAAGCACATGTAGGCTCCTTACAATGGAACTTCGGTTAGATTTAATTTTGGAAAAATTATTGGTAAAATTTTGAAGATTTAAACTGTGGATTAAAAACTCAAAATCAAGCTGATTTGTGCAATTTTTTTACAATTCACTTTACGAAGTCGGTCAATAAATTTGGATTAAACTTGGAAATAACACAAAAAAGACTTAAAAATTCAAAAAATTCTTAATCAAAAAAATTTCAAAAATGTCGGCTCTACTAAACTCAATAATCATTATTTTTGTAGGATGTTCAGCAGTCAGCATCACCATGAACCCCAACAATGATGATCTATCGACTATTCAAGCCATTTCAGACATTATCGACGAGTTTTACAGCAAAAAGTCACTTGATTTTGATTTTATAATTTTTGACAGTGAAAATTCAAGAATAATCGATAAAATTGGAAGTTCCAGCAACAAGCTACATCCATATCAAGTCAAGACAGTCGACAATTTTGATGAATGGAATCAGATTGACAAGTCAGCTGTAATTCTAGTTGGAAATGTTTTGTCTGTCAACAATTTGAATAATGAAGTAAAATTGACTAATTTTTACTCAAAAGACTTAATTTTTTTGATAATTTTGGACGAAGTTTTTGGATTTCCTTTAAAATTATCAGCACAGCCATTTTTAGTCAACGATTATGGACGATTGCTTGAATTTTCATATTTTCTCATCAATTATCATGACAAAATTGTCTTCGGGACTGTCACGTGGTTCAGTCAGTCAAAATGTGATGCTCCACTCTTTATGCCAGTCAATGTCATGCTCAAAAGTACTAAACAATGGCTCACAAGTCTTAAATTCTTCGATAAATTCAGAAACCTTCATGGATGTCCTCTAACATCAGGTAGCATATTCAACACATTAGGAACATTCTACAAAGACAAATTTACATCAGAACTCAGAGGAATCTTCTTTGACTTAACGCTAGCTATAGCTCAATACACGAACTTTACAGCTTACTTTTTTCCAATCAGCAATTATACATTAAGTGACGATGTCAATAAAGTAGACGAAACTGGTGACGGAAGGATCCAAATTGTATATAAAATCAGAACAAACTCTTTAGATTCCCACGAGCATGTGACAATGACATTTACACAATTTAGCTTCATATTTGTGATTACACCAGCTGATCCGTACACAAGTTATGAAAAAATTTTGCTTCCGTTTGACACAGACACATGGACATGGCTGATTATCACATTTTCATGTACTTTTGTGTCAATTTTTATCATCAACAGGATCTCAAAGGAAGTACAAGACATAGTTTATGGTGAAAATGTTCAAACACCGACCATGAATGTTTTCTTTATTTTCTTCGGAATCGGTCAAATGCGACTGCCTGCAAAGTGGTTTGCACGATTTTTACTCATCAATTTTATTCTGTTTTGTTTGATTTTTCGAACTTGTTATCAAAGTAAAATGTTTGAATTTATGACATCGGATATGAGGAAGTCCTCGCCGGAAACTATCGATGATCTTTTTGTGCAGAATTTTACAATTTATACGATGGAATTTGAGCATATTGTGAAGATTTTGGGGAATCTGATTGATGAGAAGAGAAGGTGAGAAATTTTTTTGAGATTCAGGTGTCTTCACACTAGGTTTTTGCAGGTTTTTGACACATGTACAACGGTCTTTTTAGCTCAGGTGTCTTCACATTAAAGTTTTCTAATATTCAGGTGACTTCACACTTAGTGTTTTGGATCAGGTGTCTTCACACTAGGTTTTTCTAGTTTCAGACACCTTCACAACAGTCTTTTAGGTTAAAGTGCCTTCATAATAAAGTATTCGCAGGAGATTTCTGTGATTCAGGCGCATTCACACTAGAGCTCTTCTTTCAGGTGTATTTGCACTAGACTCCAAAGGTTGTTGCTTGGCACTTGGTATTATAAGATTTTAAGCTCAGATGACTTCACACTAGATTTCTAAAATTTAGGTGCCTTTACACTAAGTATCCACGTGGCTTCACACTAAGCTTTTTAGATTCCGGTGTCTTGAAACTAGGTTTGCTAAGTACAAATGACTTAACACTAGATTTTTGAAGCTCAGTTGCTTCATATTTGAGGTTTTATGTTCAGGTGACTTCACATTATGATTACAAAATTCAGGTGACTTAACACTAGGTTTCTAACATTCAGGTGCATCCACATTAGAGCTTAAAATTTCTTGTTCTTTTAGGTTGGAGTTGTAAAATTCAGGTGTCTTTACACTAGAATTTTGAATTTTAGGTGTCTTCACATTTAAGCTTTAATTTTAATTTCAGACCAAAAAATCAAAAAAACTGTGTGCCTTAAACGAAGTGTTTGACAAACTAGGACAAAACAGCACAGCACGAATAGCTTTCTTTATTCCAGATGATTCTTTAGTTATATTTCGTGAGAAATGTAATTGTTTACCAAAAGTGCTCAAGCAGACCCTCCTGACTTACCAAAATGGCATCGCAATGCTCAAAAATAATTTTTTATTCAAGCAAACTGAGGAAGTTGTTCAAAGATTTATTGAAATGGGAATCATGCAACATTTATATGAATATCATGTTTGGGTCTGCAACCGACCAGTGATAGCAATTGATGAAAATAAGCCTAAAATTTTGACGATGGATGATTTAGAATTTGGATTTACAATTTGGATAGCTGTGATTTGTGCATCAATTTTAGGATTTTTGTTTGAAATTGTCAGGTTTTGGATTAAGAAACTGATTAGAAAATTGTAGCAGAAAGCAGCAATTTTAAGGATCTTGAATAAAATTTATGGATGTGCTTTTTTGTAGCTTTTATTGTAACTCAAAAATTACAGTTTATTATAACGTTCAAAAAACATTCAAATTCATTTTTTCATTTAAAACACTACAAAGCATGTTCAAAAACTTGTTGATTCAATTTCGCTTGTTTTCATCGTCCAACCGGCATTTTAGTTCGAAAATATTTTCCTCAAAAATGGCACTTTCTCCAAAAGAATCTGGCGAATTTATCGTCAAAAATGCTAAACACTTGACAGTCAGTGAGGATGGCATCAAGAACCTCGCAAATCAAGTAAGTTAAATTAGATTAAAATTTTGAATTATTTTTGTTTGAAGATATTTGTGACACAAAATCGTAAAATTCTTAAGAATCAAACCCTAAATTCCGAAATATTTTCACTTTTAGATTGTTGCAGCAATCACGGACCAAACCCTGAGCATCAACAACTTCTCACAAATTAAATTTCATCCAAAATCAACCGATGACTTTGCCCTCAACTGGATCTTTTTAATTGACACTCTCAACTTCTGTTTCTGGACGCCTGATAAGCAGCCACAAAAGTGGAAAGTTGAAGGTGAATCTGGATATTTTGCATTATGTGCAGCCATAAATCGAGCACAAAAGGAAGGAATTGACGTGACCAATCCAAAATATTATTCAAAAATCACTTTGGAACAATTGGATGGAATTTTGAGACCTGATGATGGAGTTACTAAGGCACCACTGCTTGAGGATCGTGTCAAGTGTCTTCATGATGTTGGAACTAAGCTCCTGGACAAGTACAATGGGAAATTCGAAAATGTTGTGCTTAAAGCTTCTGGATCAGCTAAGAAGTTGTTGGAAATTATTGTTGATGAGTTTCCATGCTTTCGTGACGAAGCTGAATACTGCGGGAAGCGAGTTTCAATCCTGAAAAGAGCACAAATCCTTGTTGGTGATGTCTATGCATGCTATAGAGGTCAAGGAATTGGAAAATTTGATGATATTGATGATGAAATCACAATGTTTGCTGACTATCGAGTTCCACAAGTCCTCGTCCACTTTGGATCATTGACATATTCTGATGAGCTCATGCAGGAACTGAAAGATGACAAAATTCTGATGAACGGCGAGGAAAAGGAAGTTGAAATCCGTGGAGCATCAATTTACATCGTTGAGAAGGCTAAAGAAATTGTCAGACAAATGTTGAAGGCAAAAGATCCAAAATTGTGCCTAAAAAATGTCAATTCTATCTTGATTGATCACTTCCTGTGGGATTATCGACGTGCTAATGCTGAAATGTTGACTTATGTGCCATTCCATAAGACATTTAGTGTTTATTATTAACGTCCAGAATGAGAACTTTAAGGAACAATCGAAGTGTCACCTAATTTAATTAAAAAATTCCAAAAATAAAGTTGTTGTTGCCATTTTTGAAAATTGTATTAAATGTTTTATTTTTTAATGACAAAAAAGCTAAATAGCTTATAAGTTCTGGTGAGAATGTCAAAAAATGAATCAATCCCTTCAAGTTAACTTTTTTTCAGGAGCAGCAAAAAACATGAATTTTACAAAAAATCTTCATCATAATATCCATGATTTAAAAGGCATCAGCTGGCGGTATATCCTTTCCAGCATCATCTACGGTTATGTCACTTTCAATAACCGAGCCAGTTAAAAATCAAGGAAGCATCGTTATCGAGCTACTCATTGTTTTGAGCATGGCTGAAGCTATTGAAACTGAAAATAAATTGTCATAAATCTACATAAATTCATCAACATCTTTGTATTAATTCTGGCACTTTCCGTCTCGTCTGAAATTTAAAAATCTTCAAAAAAGCGGCGAAAATAAATTTGCATAAGCAATAAAACTCAATTTCTCTTCTGTGTGTTAATTAAATGCAATTTTTCTTATTTCTTTTATTAATTTATTACTTTTTCTCATCTCCACAAATCTCCATTTGATGCCAAAATTTGGTATTATAAAGAAAGCAAAATGTTATGAAAAAAATATTTCTGTTAAATTGGGGGTCGAGGTGGGGTGTTGGGGGCAAATTGGTTTAGAATACATTTCTGGTTCTTGGTCTAATGATTTTAATGTTCAAATTGATCCAAATCAAAAGATAACATAGAAAGTCTAGACTTTTTATCAAACTAACCATGAAGATTAATATAACCGATTAAGGAGGAGTTGGTCCAGATAGTCATGATCTTCTTGGATGTAAATTTTATTTCAATTTCCAGTTTTTCTCAAACTTTAAGGTTAGATTCTGATTTTGTAATGAAAAATACTCCAATCCTAACCTTCAAGAACCATCAGACAACTATACCTCGACATCTACTCCCACTTCTCCACCCACTCCCTCAAAGAAGCATCATCAATCAATTGTTTAGTGTAAAAAGCAACAATGTCTTTGTGAAATTAGTCTGTGTTTCTATAAATATTAGTGTTAATTTGAAAAAAGTTATCAAAAAGTTTAATATTCATCTCCTTCGCCGACTTCTTCAGTTGAGTCAACACCAACTTCCTCGTAATCCTTCTCCAAAGCAGCCAAATCCTCACGAGCTTCTGAGAATTCACCTTCTTCCATACCTTCACCGACATACCAGTGAACGAAGGCACGCTTGGCATACATCAAGTCAAATTTATGATCTAAACGAGCCCAAGCTTCAGCAATGGCTGTTGTGTTAGACAACATGCATACAGCACGTTGAACCTTAGCTAAGTCACCGCCTGGAACGACTGTTGGTGGTTGATAGTTGATACCGACCTTGAAACCAGTTGGACACCAGTCAACAAATTGAATTGAACGTTTTGTCTTGATTGTTGCGATGGCTGCATTGACATCCTTTGGAACGACATCACCACGATACAACATACAGCAAGCCATGTATTTACCATGACGTGGATCACATTTAACCATCTGATTGGCTGGCTCGAAGCAAGCATTTGTAATCTCAGCAACTGTCAATTGTTCATGATAAGCTTTCTCAGCTGAAATGACTGGAGCATATGTAGCCAATGGGAAATGAATACGTGGATAAGGCACAAGATTTGTCTGGAATTCAGTCAAGTCAACATTTAAGGCACCATCAAAACGAAGAGATGCAGTTATTGACGAGACAATTTGTCCAATAAGGCGATTCAAGTTTGTGTATGTTGGACGTTCAATGTCCAAATTACGACGACAAATGTCATAGATAGCTTCATTGTCGACCATGAAGGCACAATCAGAGTGCTCGAGGGTTGTATGGGTGGTTAAGATTGAGTTGTACGGTTCGACAACGGCTGTTGATACCTGAACAGATTAAGTAGAAGTTTTGAGGTTAGAATTATGAATTTTGAGGTTAGGATCAATTATTTTTAAGTTACCTGAGGAGCTGGATAGATTGAGAACTCCAACTTAGACTTCTTGCCATAATCAACTGACAATCTTTCCATCAACAAGCTAGTAAACCCAGATCCAGTTCCACCACCGAATGAATGGAAAACCAAGAATCCTTGCAATCCAGTACATTGATCAGCCAATTTACGGATGCGATCCAAGACAATATCAACAATTTCCTTTCCAATTGTATAATGTCCACGTGCATAATTATTAGCAGCATCTTCCTTGCCAGTAATCAATTGTTCAGGATGGAAAAGTTGACGATAAGTTCCAGTACGGACCTCATCAACGACAGTTGGTTCCAAGTCAACAAAAACAGCACGTGGAACATGCTTGCCACTTCCCGTTTCAGAGAAGAAAGTATTGAATGAATCATCTCCACCTCCGATTGTTTTGTCCGATGGCATTTGACCATCTGGCTGGATTCCATGTTCGAGACAGTAGAGCTCCCAACAGGCATTACCGATTTGAACACCGGCTTGACCAATATGAACTGAGATGCATTCACGCTGGAAGAGAAAGGGAGGAAAATGAAACGGTTAGAGATTTTTGAAGACAATGAGGTTATGTACTTTCATTTTGAGGTTATGTCAATAAAATTTGAGGTTATGTCAATAAAATTTGAGGTTATGTTATTAACTTTACGGTTATATTGCACAAATTTTAGACTATTTTGCCTAATTTGTAGGTTAGAAACCAACTGAATTTCATTTCTAACCTCAAATCTTAAAATTCCCTCAACATAACCTTAAAAAACCTCAAAATTATTTAACACTCCATCCTTAACACTCAACACATCACCAAAGCAGGTCATGAGACTGTCTTTAATAGCCATATTTTCTATAATTTCCCCCAATTAAAGTCACAATTTAGCATGCACAAGTTCCAGTACAACATACGTCAATAACAATCGCGTGTCAAAGGATTCGGACTTTCATGCACGCAAGTGTTGAGCCACCCACAATTTAGAGATTTTTTTATTTCAATTCCGTGGAAAAATGTTTGTTCTGCGTCAAAATAGCCGCTTTTGATATTTTGAAACTACTTATTACATTAACATAAATAAAGGACAATGAACTGAATCGATTTCATCGAAATTTAACCTGTTTTATGATTTATTTTGCGCATGCTACAAGTCAAGGTCTTTACATGCTGACTTGCATGGCATATTTTATTTGGAAGTGAGTGTGGAATGAGTTATTGGGAGTTGTATGACATTGTGGCATAGTTTTGGATTTTTAAAGGGGTTGTTTGAAATGTAAATAATGATTAGAGTTGAGTTTAAGAGGAGGTGGGGAAGGGGGTGGGGCGGTTTTATTATTATTATGTCTATTTCCCTATTATTTGCACATTGATTGATAAAAATGACCAAAACTATCCTTAACAACCACAATTATACCTCTTTTCCTCAATATCCTTACTTATTGCCTTCATAATATTCTCCAAGTCTACAACTTCAACTCATAATCAACCATTTACGACCTCATCGTGACTTTAAAAATCCATCAAACTAAATTTCCTTCCTACAAAAGAATTTTTTCCGAGTATTTCTTTTTTCAGTTCCTGCACGAAAATAATATCAGACTTCCTCAATTTTTGATCTACTTTCCACTCTTCCTGTTATTTTTTTTCTAATCTAAAAAAGTGCATTGAACCTTAATTTTTCACACTAGACTAGAAACATTCTAAATTGCTGTCCCTATTCTCCATAATTACACTTTCATGCAATCGCAATGAACATCACTGATTCATTATTAAAATCCCTTCATTTATGTAAATAACAATTTGCTGTTGCTGTTTCGAGTTGTTTGGATTAATTGCGAGCAAATGAGGATTTTTTGAAATTAGAGTGGAAATTGTAAATATAAAAATAATGAGAATTGGTGTGAAGTGGAGTAGTTTGAATTGGAATTGAGTCTGAGTGGATTTTTGGAGTTGGTTTCTGAATAGCACAAGTAGGTTAGTTGAATAGAAATTCGGGCTAGCTATAGAACTCCTTAATCTGATCATATTCTTTGTATTCAACCATCAAATCAACAATTAAATGTTTTCAAATCTAGTTCTCGCAATGTCACGAGTAGAGAGCTTTAAAGCTTTTAATTAAGAGGATAAACAAAGAAAAATTAAATACTGTCAGGTGCGGATGTAGACATAATATTCGTGATGAAGGATTTTTTATAATAAACTTTTTATTACAATTTTTTAAAAAATAAAATTATTCGTGACTAGTTGCATGCAAGAAAATTAATTAAAGTTTTTTAATTTTAAGGAAAAAGTTTGTTTTGTAAATATTTGAAAGTTATTGGATTAAATTGTATACTTTATTCTAGATTTTTCATGTTTTGGGTTTCTAAACTTTTTTTTAAAAATTATGATTTTCAATTTAATCAAATTTTTTGGATTTTTTTAAAATAAAAAAAAATTGCTGGGGGTCCTCGATTTAAATAAAATCGATTTTATCGAAAAAATTCTGGAAAAATTCACTCAGTCAAAGCAAAAATTTCTGGTAAAACGCCTCAAGCTAGCTTCATTAACCCCCCCTTTTTTGCACCCAAACAACACCACATCAAGTTCCTTATTCTTTCCTGTATGACCACCATTTCCCTTCTCAATTTATATCACAATAACCCACCCCATTGAGACATAATAACAGGTGATTTTGATAACTAAAACATAGGTGTGTTCGGCTTTTCCATTTTCATGGCTCCAAAATGACAGCGAGCGTGTACTTTACTGTTGAAAAATTCAAACAAAAGAAAAATTTCCATAAAATTGCCGAATTTTTTTTATGGGACACGAAAATATAGGCACCATGAAATTACAGACTTTATGTGATTAATAATTTAATGAATTTTTACGCTAAATATAAAATAATGTGAAGGACTCGAAATGTGATTCTAAAAATATTGAATATGGTTGCTAGCCTAGAAACTAGCTGTACCATCGTGTGTCACTATCGAATTATTATTTTTTTTGTTGCAACTTCGATGTTTGAATTATTTGGGGATTAAAACTTGAATTCAGTCATAAATTATGATTTTGAAGCTTCAATTGGTTCAGACACTTGTTGCATGTCTAAGCATCTACAGCAGTGGTGGTAAACCTTCTTTAAGTCCCAGCTCACCTTGACGTTAAATCATGATCAAAATCACACACAGCATGTGGTTCGTGGAATTTCTTGAATTTTTTGTCGACACACTAGTGTGTCGCGGCACAAAGGTTGGCCATCACTGATATAGGCGACCAATCTTAAAGACTTTGGATGTAGCTACTTAAAATGGCGTCATAGAATTATGAAAGATTAAATCTACCCACCCAAACATGTGTCATTAGCTACAATAGATCAGATAAGCCTTAGAACAATACGATTCATAACTCTAATGACTCTTGGTTTCTTATTCTACATTAAAATTGATTTCTGTCTTCTTTATCGCCCTCACGTGATCCACAAAATTTTTATTGACTATAGAATGACGCTTGTGTATGCTAAATAAGTGAAGAAGGCACGAAACGGAAATTCCAATTTTTTTCTTCAATTAGTCATGGATTAATTTTATCATTTGTCACACCTTATTATGCTAATCGATGGAAAATGTGGATGTTTAATGTAAAATTCAATTATAATATTTTTTTTGAAAATTCATAGATACAGCAAAAGTCAGCTAGTGACCCAGAATTCCACAAAATCTACTAAATAATTCTCATTATGATTTATGAAGTGCAAATCATTCATAAAATAACAATTTTTCGTTTATTTATGCATCCCATAATTAATTTCACTACAGTCGAGACTTCTTACATCAAAAGTCGAGCCTCATTCTTTGCAATTCATTGACACACAGTGAGAACAGGTGCGTAACTAGGGGGGAGAGTAAATTCTTCATTTTGTTTGGGTTTTTAAGAAGAAATCCTAAAAATATGCCCCCCCCCTCCTCCCCCCAAATTTATTGTCACTTTAATTTCCTGGCTTCGCCCTTGAGTGGAACTGAGCAATTAATCAAATGACAGCAACAAAAAAAATTGCATAAATCTGTTTGCATAAATGGGAATGTTTACACAATAATAAATCTTCTTTTCTTGGGAAGTTGTTGTGAAGATGATTGTTATCGAGATGAGATCTGTGAGTATGAATCCAGGGGTGCAGTATAAAATTAGGGTAACCATCTAATTTTTATGAAAATACAGGACATTTGATAAAATTTCCTAAAAAATACAGGACACAAAGGAAAACTTGAAAATTAACGGAAATTTTCGTGAAAAAAGTACGGGACCTGGAACAAAATTTTCAAATTTATACAGGACAGGGTTTTGAAATACAGGACTGTCCGTTGTAAAATTACGCAGATGGTCACCCTAAGTATAATTGACAATTGATCACAATTTGATATTCAGAAGTGTTTGAGGAGGGCTCTAAAGTCAAACTACAATGAATCAGCATTAAGAAGATTCTAGACCTGAGTAGCACAAGTTGGTTAATCAAATACGAATCTGTCGTCAAGCCAGCATGACTCTGGAATGTTGCTAGCTTCAATTTAAATCCAGCACCATAGCAGAGTCATTTTGACTTGATGCCAGATTTCTATTGGACTAACCGACTTGTGATGTTCGGAAGAAATTCTAATCTCGATTAGCTTTTTGCTGTGACAAGTGGATTCCTTGTCTTTTTTGTGCAATATGTATTGATAATGTAGCTCAAAGAATTCTAATGTAAGCTACAGACAGTAATATCGTCAAAAGAGGGGTTCGGTTCACACTGCAAACTGTAAAGAGCATTGGTATGGCAAATCCTCACTTGTTTAACAATTTAGCCATTAACAACTCTAGTAAAGCTGGTGATTAACTACATTTGAATGGTTTTTAAGCACAATTTGGTATTATATTGTCAAAATTCATCTGCTGTACCTTCAAACATGCAACACTAGGACCTTATAAAATCACTAAACCCCCTCAATAAGCAAACTAAGGCTCACAATTCCCATTAAAGTCCAACAAAGCGATCCCATTGCTCATACACACGCTAATAAATGCACTTGAATTCCTTTTCGCAATTTCATTTTATTTCAGCTTAAACAAAACAAACGAAAATAAAAATGTATATAAATTATATATTAACATTTATCACGCATGATTTGCTTTTAACAATCTCGTCTCGCAGTCTGAGAAATGAAACTTGATGATGCGATAAAAACAAAGTAACGAAAAATAAAGTCAATGAATATGGAAAAATTCACAAAAATTGCCTTTTTTGGATGCAAAAATAATTTTTTGCAGTTCATTTGTTTATGCTGTACATTTTTTTTTTTTGAGATTGGTGAGGCTTGGAGTTAAGGAATTGATTTCAAGGGATTGGCAAGTGGGTTTAACTCTTCTTAAAACCCCGAAAATCCACTTATTAGCATCCAAACTACCGCTAGAGTCGTAAGCTCTCCAATTTCGCATGATAAAAATTCATCATTCATAGAAGAAATTCCGCTTATCTTTTGAAAGATTCGTGGGCTGAGCAGTTTCA